GAAGAGCCAGAAATGTTGCCAGAAATATTGCTCTGACAAAGATTTATCTCTGACTTCGTTGTCCGCTCTCGCCGAGTATAGAGCTTCCGTACTTTCATCTTGGATATGAGTTAGAGAATCAGTGAGGTAGTAGTCATTGGTCCCCTCTCTCGACCCCTGAGCTTGGTAAGTATTATTAGCATAAGACGAATGGCATTTGTGGGCATCCGGAGGCAGGGGTATTTTTCAGGATCGTCAGCCTCATCCGGTTGCCAGGTTCAGGCTCCCACACGGCCCCCAAACCACCAAACCTTCTCCAGGCTTTCTTCGAAAGTACCCACTGCGTACAGCACATCCGGAAAGCTTCCATGCGTCGTCTAAAGGGTAATCTGTCGCACCCTTAGGAGCACTTGCACGTGTGCCCCTGGTACCATTTGGACACCCCCTTTTTAATACCTACATTACTAAGCTATATCCATGCACTTGGACTTTTGAGAGTTGGGAATAGAACAAGAACTCCAATGCTACATGTAGATATTCACCTTTAGGCACTGGGGTACTAACCTAGGTATGCCGTTGTAATGACAGCCCTAGCCGCGATTACATAGTATGGTATGTACCGTGACGTTGAGCTAGAGCGTAACCGCCCAGGTACAGACATGGTGTCGTCATTAAAACTACACGTAGAGGAAAATATAATGACAGCCGGGAGATTTAGTAGAGATGAAAAGGTGTGATTCGTAACCAGTATATAAAATTGGAAACAATTATGTGCATATATTCGTCGATTTATATCTTTTCATCGGGCCGTTATGTGAAAAAGGGTAGACAAAGAAGGGGTAGTTGGTAGGACTTGTTGGTGGGTGAGGTGATCAATGGCAATGGACGTATGCCCTAAAGTATACCTTGGTACAATGCACGGTACCGCCTCCACACTAGGTACCATACCCTGCCGCCCCGAATCGGAAGGGCCGTCCATTGGCCTTGAATTCAGATGGAAAGTTTCCCCAAATCCTCGTGCTTCCTTACCTGCTGTGCCAATTGCCAGGCAATTTCCCCATTCAGCTTCTAAACTTTCAGGTTCAGGTAGGTGGTAATCTGTTCTGTCAGGTCTTTCCCCATTTTCCCAACTTTTTTTTATTCTATTGCTTCTCGTTTTGGAAGATGTCCTCTCGCTGCTGTTTGTTACCTACATAAATTAATTGCCCAGACTAGAAGTTCAAGACAAGAAATCAAACCCCCTGGCTTATCCGCATACACAGAAAGCTTGTGGGGTTAAGCCAGCAGCTGATTCTCTTAAGCCCGGTGCGGTACGGGTTCGTCACTCATTCACACAAAGCAAAAGTCCAATCCAATCCTGTCCTGTCCAATCCAATGTGAACTGGGCTGTAGATTCAACAATCGGATGTCGCCCATAACCTTAAACCCCTCCAACGTTGAACTCACTCGGCCAAGGTAGAAGCTACCTAGTACAGCCAAGTCCTACATTACGTGTAAGAGCTGGGCTACGAAAGCTACTTTACATAGGTAGAAACGGTAGAAACCTACCAACTTCAATGTTCATAATTCGCAACTAGTTCCAAACACAACACCACTCAGAAGCCAGCTCGTTACCTACCTACCTAATTACTAGGTAGGTATCGTTCGCTGATCCATCTCTTTCATCAAACCGAGTAGGCTGTGATCCTACCGCCATCCAACTTCGCGCGCCCTGCTTTACCTCAGCCACCATATTCGTCTCCATCGGCAACGCAATTCTTTGAGGAATCCCCAAACCTACCTAGGCAAGGTACCTTAGGTAGCCAAACGTTGCACTTGCACGTCCCGCCTTTTGCGACATTCGGCCCTCGATTTCTACCATAGGCGACACCGTTATCGACCGCTAATATCTTAGGCGATAGTCGCTTCCGCTTGCAGATTAGACCTACGTTGAACGCCGGACGGGATTATTATAAACGACTGAGATCTGACGTGTAATGCCCTTGATATTATACCTTGGACCGTTCGAAGTTCGCATTCCGTGAGAAGGCGGTCGGCTCGTGGCCGTCGATGAGGAATAGATGCGCCGACCCGACGCTAAACATTTACCATTTCTCCTACCACCGGCCGGACACTCTTCGCGAACATGACAGATCGAGTACAAGCTTCCGTCCGGGTTTCTGGCCCTCCTAATAGTAGTTTTTTAGTTGGATATCCCGGCATCTCGGCGACATTGGTGAGTTCATGTTTTCTTTCCTTATCGTGTTTATTTGCCTAGCGATTACCCGCTCGTCAATGTGGGGGTGCGTAACGCCGGCTACCCAAGCTCGAAGCCTTGCGATTTTCTGTATTTACCTAGTTGCTTTGCCCAACTAACAACAATTCGTAGCCGCGCATAGAGGGTAAAGTCGAGATAAGACCGTCAGCAGGGTATTCCGCACCCGTCGCCATCTCCCTAGTACGAATATGTCTCCAGAGAAGGGAGACAATCCACCCCGCCGCCGAAAACGTAGCCAAGCGCCACCTCGGTACACCTCGACGCGATACCACCGATGTTGTTGGAAAGGAACTCCTGTTATACCGGTGCACGACGGGTAGGGAAGCAGAGAACGTCATGGCCATGGATCTACCGTTTGTTTTGTTCATACCATTTGGGCGAAGCGGTGAAGAGACGAATCGAAGAATACCGCCGGCATCGTTACAACTTCCAAGTAGAACCGCAGAGACATTTTACGAGTTAGTGGTTACGGTACAACAGGGCCAGAGTTTGCAGAACAAATATGCATTCCCCGTGCCCCTGCAGCGCTACGATACTCTATCGACCTTTGGAATGTACAACCGACCCGAAAGCAAAGTCGCGTCGTCCGATAATATCGTGTCGCTCGGCATTTCGCTTCCCAGGTGGAGTTACGGACCTATGGACCCAATTACAGTATACATCAAATTAGCGCCAAACCTCGACTGGATGAGCAAGGCGAGGAAGGTTACGATAAAGAGTCTCACACTTGCAATCGAGGAGGAGATCACCTACAATCCCGAAGGAGATGAGCCGTCCAAGAAAATCAACAGGTTGCAGAAACACACTCAGAGCATTGGCATGAAATTGCCAGAGGAAGGCTACGTCACCAACATGGGCATCATCTTTCCTCACAAGGACCTCAGAGACGCGAACGGAATCATTCGAAGGGGACAGCCAGCTTTTCCGAACTACGAAGTTACCTCGTTCACAACAACGTCCACACTGTACAAGATTGAATTCTTCCTGAGTGTAAAGGTATGCGCGTGCGAATATTATGAGGTTGACGAAGGTTTTTTACCATCTCCCTCTTCATCCTCCCCTTATTCCTCCTTTTCCTCTATTGCGACTCGTTGCTGATACTCCTTAAACCATAGGCGCAATTAACTGCTGCCCGCGATATCACCCTTCGACAACCCATCGTCATATGTCCATTAGATCATCAAGCTTGCAAAGAGGAAATGGATGCAATTGAGCAGGCCGCTAAGGACGCCTCCTCCGTGGATCCAAACAGCCCAATGCTACCAGCGAGAACGATCGTCTTGGCCAATGACCCTAAAGCACTGGCGACACTAGGATTATGCCTAGTAGGGGGACAGAAGAAGCCGTTAATCGAATGAGAGAGCATCTTGTCAGTTCAAGAAGGACGGGTGCTTCTCCTTACTTTTGTTCGAACGATGCTGTATTCAAGGGATTTGGACTGCTCGAGTTGATTTAACGAGTACGTCTATTTGCGAGCTTTTGCGCGTTCAGCGATATTTTGCTAGGTTTTGGCGTCTGGAAAGACTTGCCTTACCTACGAGCTTCTGTGCATTTGAAGGAATACAAATTCCTCGTCGACATATTGGCCCGAACCAGTACGAGCGACGTTCGAAGCACCACTTTGAGAGAAGCAGCATACCAGATTAATGCACAGAAAAACGAAGCTGGTTGCTCACCTCACACTGCGCCACTTGCCGAGGAAGTAGAGCTTATCAAGTTCCCCGACCTTTGACAGCTTTTTAGCAACCACCATGGCACAAAGCATACCTTGATCTGCCTGGCGGACTACATAGACGGCCAGGTAGTGCGAAGGTAATATTCCAATAATCATAATAACAATCATCGCTAGGGGATGTTCAGGACAGGATGCAAGAATCGGAGTTCACGGATCCGCGACTCGGTAGGACTGTTTTACGTTTGACGGATACAGGTGCCACATCGCAACGGATTTACGGCGTTACGGTTATGACAGATTTCACAGGGGCGGCACGAGACCGGAAGGATACCAGCGCATCGGATCCCGGGCGTTCTAGGAGAATATGGCCGTCCAGGCTATCTTGACTTACTTTTCTCTTCGTCCATGACTTCAAGGAACGGCGCATTAGCCACATATTGTCGTTGACTGGCGAGTAAATCAGAGCACCCGATCAGAATAGAGAAGTACCTACACGCCCATTTAGTGGTACTTTAAATTGCTGGTTCGAGAAGTTGCTACCATTTGTAGAGCAATGGCTTGATGGAGTTACATGTACGTGTACATATGCTGTACCACTTATGAGCCTGCCTTGGAAAGGCACGTAGATATCATAGGAAAGAAGAGATGAAATGCAATTGCAAGGCTACGAGAACTTGATCTATGTTAGTGGTGCTATGCAATGTGTAGGCTATTGTAAAGTAAGTTTCTGGAGGTCGTGTGCACATCTTGATAATACGTAAGAATGCAACCAAATTATTAGTCACTTTCTGGGCCTAGGCCGTGATCTCACCGATCAACTTTCCTAGACATGATATACCAGCACCGTCTGTCGTCTACTCAAGCTGCGTTGGGAACTTGTTCACCTACTATGCTTGGGCAATGCTCTCGAGGCGACGAGCAGATAATGACCAGGCGCACGCACATGCACAAGGATACCAACGGAATCTTAAGGGATTTGGGCGAAAATAAGGAAGAACTATGGAAAGAAAATTTAAAAAAGGGAAAGAGCCTACGGAACACCAGACAGAGACTACAATAAAAATATCGCGATACGGCAAAAGTAAATATTGAGTGCTGCAGGATTCGAACCTGCGCGGTTTCCCACTGCGGGTTACTGGTTTCTCATGAGAGAAGACCTAAACACAGCGCCTTAACCACTCGGCCAAACACCCAGTTGGATTGAATTGTTGAGAACTAGGGTGCTAATGATACTATATCAAGCGCATCGTCTGTGCCCTCTAAACGAGGGGCGAAAATCGAGCTGATTGGACGGTGCTTTTAGTCCAGGAGTGGGTCTTGTGAAGAGCTTGATACTATGTACATACGGATTACATGTACACCTTGTACACCTTGTACTGCAATATTGGATTACGAGACTAAGCAGAACATCAGAAGAATTGAGTGTAATGGTATTCTTCTTAACTTTTTGATTCACACCATGCCTACCTAACTAAGTCTCTTGTTGGCCAGCTACAATCGTGGTGGCTTGTAAAGCAGGAGAAGAAAAAAACCCAAAAACCTTAGCCTGTATGATATGGTAGTCATCACTGCTTGTACCATTACACACCGTTAAAGTGGTTCCCCCATTGGGCATCTAATCATCAATTCAACCTCCTAACATATTCATAACAATGCCGTTTGACGATGAAGACCCGATACCCTCGTCGGCCTTGACAGCCGGCGCTGGGGAGCAAGGCACAGATGATGCGCCGTCTTTTGAGGACGCCCTGGCGGACGAGACGCAGGACTTCCGGCTCTTCGCCTCGCTCTTCGACAAGAAGCAGGCGTCAGGCAAGACGTTGCGCCGCGGCGAGAAGGACTTCGAGTCCCACGGCACGCGCGCGCAGGAGGGTGCGCTGGAGGCTAGTCGAAATGCCATGCACGAGGTGCTGAGCTATACGCGCTCGCACAAACCTAAGGATTATACCCGGGGCTGGTACTTCCCGGACAAGTGGGCTAACGTACCGATTGAGGAAGAGAGGGAAGGAGAGAAGGGAGCCGGCTTGTTTGCTAGGGAGCGCGTGGTAGGTGTCGAGAACGAAATAAGAGGACCCCTCGGCCAGAATACGGGACGGGTTGTTACCGGCATTGAGGGGTATAAGCAGACGCCCGGGTGGCTGAGTACATGGTTGCTACCCGAAGAAGCTCTGTACTTGGTGGAGCGAGGATCCCTGGACCTTTGGTGGCCGGCACGAGGCATCGAGGATATCTTCCCTGTGAAGAAAGACAGCACAGAGTCAAATGGCGATGCGGTTGAGCAACAGTTCGAGGAGCATGAGCTCGGAATCCCGCTCAGCTTCCAAGCAGCATATGCGCTGCTCATCGGCCAGGACGGGGAGAGGGGCAAGGTCAGCCTTGAAAAGTACCAAGTCTACGCCAACCTACGGAGAACGGGCTACAAGATCATGAGAGCAACGTTGATACAATTACCACCGGCAGTGCCCGAGAAAGCATCTCAGACGTTATTGGAGTGGTTATTCTCCCTCCTCCCCACACAGAAGTCTCAAAATTACCTACCTCACGGGCCCCTCGTCAAGCCGGGTCTCTACCGCTCCTACACCCCGATATTCACACAGCTAGCCCTCATCCCGCGGCACAAGCCCACTCCACAACCCCATACCTCCACGCCCCCACCGGAAGAACCCTTCAACATCCACTACCACGTCTGGAAGAGCAGCACGGCCTTCTCGAAAACCAAGCCGCCGCCGCCGGACTTCCGGATCGCCGTCGCGGACGCGCGCGCCTCCGCCGTCCCGACCCTCGAGCAGCTGGCGGCGCTGCTCGAGCGGCGCACGCCCTGGGACCCGCCGGAGGTGAAGAGGGACGGCGGCGGCGCGGGGCTCATGTACCGCCGCCTCAAGCACGCGTGGCGCAACGCGATCGTGGCCGTCGTGGACCGCGGGCTGATTAGCTACATCCGCTTTGGCGAGATGGCGTTTGCCGAGGAGAGGCTGTACGAGAAAGCTGGCAGTGGTGGACGGGGCGCGAAGGGGAAGAGGGGTGGAAGACAGGGGAGGGGAGGCAGGGGCGGACGTGGTGGGAGAGGAAGGGGTGGATAGTGGCTATCTCGACTTTGTGCTGAGGACCGGGTCGCTTAGGAACTTCTGAAAGACCTACGATCCACGATTCTTCTCAAGACGAACTGATCGTGAAGTTGAAAGTCTTAATATGTCAATACGCTACCTAAGAATCATGACTTCCTCTTGATGTTAGATCCTGTGATCAATCCTCCTTCACCAATACGTAGGATTACCTTGGGTCTCAAAGGTCGTCGTCGTTAGCAGAAACCAGAGGGCTCACGGAATGTTCCAAGGTTGCCGTGTAGACATATCGCCTGGGAAGTTGCATTTGGCTTGCTTAGTGTGGTGCAACCTGGGCCTTACCGATAGCCCGGCTACGTGCGCTAGGCAAACCAGATCAGAAACGTGAAAGAGCAACATGATCTTCAGTTATATTTAGAGTAGTATTGTGGTCTTTAAATTTTGATCAATCTATTTATAGTCGTGACGTTTTATTATCTCTGTTCCGATACCATGAAGTGATCGACTAGGTAGTGGCATCATCACACTTCTGTGCCACATAGCAATAACGCTTCCCGAGCTTATCGTGTTTCAACCCCAGTTAAGAGGGAGAGAACGTTGGTATTCCCGACGGTATACAACTTGATAATGACCACATTCTCTTCACTTTGCTTACCTTTAGAGCATATTGGTGGCTTCAGGGCTGTAGAAGTTCAAGACTTACCAACGATATGTTCAACGAAGAAATCTACAGCCTCCCCATATGCTAACTAATATACAATGAATGCTCATAATATCTACCTACCATAAGTGAGCATTGAACTCCGGGAAATTTGCATCATCAGCGTGGGGGTGGACGATGTGGAGCAGCTCGGAAAGGAAGGAAAGAAAACAACCCAAATGTCCGCGACATTTTCCCTCTAATTGCGCTGTAGCACGGCCGCGAACGCACAACAAACATGTAGGTATTAATTGGTGCTACACACGATGCGAAACAACCTCAGAGGAGAAAAAGACAAGCTTACATATCGTAGGTTGGTGCACTTTGGTGATACACCAGTGTCGGTATCCTGTTTCGCCTGTTGGGACACGAGATAAAGAAGTTGCACAAGACGCCTCGTACTACGATGACATTCCTGAGTTAGGTGGCACCTAAGGATCGCGACGCCATGGTCAATAACGACGGGTTTCCTTCCCCTCGTCTGCTTCAAAGGATGCCTGGTTCAGTAATCCATAAAACTCGAACTTATTGTCCTCGTCATCACATTAGTGGTATGTAGTCGGTAATAGGACGGACCACGAGTTACGGAAACAACCAACCAACCATACAAGAAGCATACATGTAGGAAAATTTAATAATAAAAGTTATAGCACCTATCACATGATTGAATTAAGCAGGCTACGTAAATGCCTAGGCTACTAGGTTAGGTACTAGACACTTAACTCGTAGGGAACTCGGACTGGTGAGTTCGCCCGGCTTTGCAGGGTTCTCGTATAAGAAAGTTACCTAGGTATGTAGGTAGTACTCTTGATCCTTGTCACCTATTCGTCCTCGATCAATTTGACAACTAACCTGTCTGAACAGTTTACGTTTGCGTCCTACCACAATCGTAACTGAAACTCGACAAATTCGAGTCTTATGCCGAGTTTGCCATTTTTAACCTCGAATTGGCAGTGCGAAACGGGGAGGAGTCCATGTTCGCCAACGCTATTAGAAGGATGGCCCGTAGGTTTTCCCAGGTTACTTTATTGCAAAGCTTTTTAGGCAGTTTGGGAGGGGTATTGAGTTTTTTATTATCATCTACTGGCGGCACCTTGTGGCCCCCTTCGCCTTCGGTCAAACCGACAAAGAGCCATTTCTACCTACATATGCCGATTGAATCATTTACTCAAGCCAAAATAACTTGTCGCACGAGCACGTAATGTTTATCAGCAGCGAGAATTGTGATGACATGATGGCGTAAGATTGGTGTATCATCATACCCTATTGGGCACTGGTGATTACTGAGATAGAGTCTAGTTTAGACATGCAGCATCAACTGTGCCAACGTAGCATCCTTTACGGCCTCCAAGCCTATTGCCAGTATCATTCGCCGACTTTCAAACTTTCTGCGACACCCCCACCACTCAACTTGAGACTTATTCATGTACACAGGAATTGGCGACTAAAATTCTGGCGATTGCTTGTAGACGTGTAATCGAGCCATCGAAACTTCTGGAGCGCCAATCAACAATTGATAACCTAGAATGGATGTCACGGGGTCGATTACATACCGCTCTTCACCTATATTAAACCAATGTTGATAGTCACGGTTAAGGCTAAATAGACATCGGCGCTATAATTACTAGAAACATCTACTATTGCTAGTGGCTGGTCGGTGCTGATCCATGTTTCAATTCATAGGTATCTATCTATGTAAGTGCCTGACGTGGCTGCGTGGGAAAATGTAAGCGCAGCGTCGCATACCAGCTAAGCCTTCAATGGTCTTGAGCACTCGGTACGTACCTCTGGACTGATATATAAAACGACCACAACAATAACTACAACACCAGATACCTATCTAAGCTGAGTGTAACTTTGCTTTCTGAGTCTATGAAACTTCATGGAAGCAATAAAGAAAAACAAGTAGTCAAAGAGCAGGCAAACAGGCTTTGCCCCTCCGCCGTCTTTGATGTTAGTGGAAACCATTAATAAGGACATCAAAGTATCCCCGCGGTGACGCGCAACTCGAAAATGCCAACGTAACAACCAACCAACCCAACATCTCCCTACATACCAAGATGATATGAAAAGAAAATCAGTTAATGCGTCTTTATGAAGATGTTTAGCTAAGGATTATCACAGTTTCGCTCGCCTCTTCCCAACTTCCGGTTATGGAGAGACTAAGGTTGGGATTGAAGTGGAGTTAATTGGTTGTCGCATAGCCCTGATCTGATACTCTGATACTTTTACCTGATCCTATCCTTGTGGTCCGTTCATCGTGCACAATGCCCGATTTCTCTTACTTAACATATGCATTTATCATTGATGCTTTACCTTTCTTTAGTTTTCCCCCCTTCACCAACGTGAAATGCAATGTGTTGGTAGGCGAGGGTAGGATCGATATCCTACCCATTGGATGCATGTTACACAATGCAGAGCAACACCAAAA